CTCAGTTCTCAAGCGCAGTCGATTGTCGCAATTAAAACACGTTATATGAATGTCCATACACGATTGCGGTTGCATGGACGCGTGTCTGCTATACTGAAAAAAAAAAAAAAAGCAAAACGCGCGATTTGCTATATATATTTATATATACGCCCAATATATCATTCCGTACACGAGACGGATGTCTGTCTTCGTGTGCCCCTCGTGGGAAATAAAAAAAGGGTTTTTCGAAGGAATCAATCATTCCCGTCACACCGAGCCGTAGTAATAATTCGTTCGCGTATTGGATTCTCGAAGCTTTCTTCGTCAACTGGTTTATCCGACTACGATTAAAATCTCCTACCATTCTGTCGATCGTGATGATGCGTCAACTTTTCGTGTCGAAGCTCGCTTACGTCATTTTTATGACAGGCCACATCTCACTATGAGTATTTTAAATTATTGCGCGTGTAATGATAAAGTTTCACTTCAGTTTCTCTGCAAAAGGCTGGCTCTACATCGACAAAAATATTCATCGCGGAATCGTGACACGTCTCCGCTATCGCGTCACGATTACCTCGAAAAGGAAAGAAGGGAAATAAGCGAGGAAAGTCTCTCGTTATGAAAACTCTCTCTCTATCTCTCTCTCTCTCATCTTTGTAGAACTTGAATAACGAAACCAAAAACTCATCATGATTCGCGATCATAGCGACGCTTAATGCAAACGTTAATGCTAAACGTAATCGTTAATCCCGTCTCGTCGGCGTCGAAACGAAAAGTCGATGGTATTGCAATCGCGAAGTAGCGCACTCTCGCCGGACTTATACCAGAACGACAATGAGAACGAACAACAATATCGTCGCGTCCACGATTTTACATCCGGTGGCCGACGACGAGTATTTACCGGCATTCTTGCCTACGCAACCCATCCTCTCGAGCGGAATATTCTGCACGGAGTACTCGCTATGTTCCGTGGGCATCGTGCAGATTGTTCGCTTCTTTGACATCATCTCGTCGTCCTTGTCGCGCAGATTTGCGAGCCATATGGAATACCATCGTAGGTCGCAGTCGCAAGTCAGAGGATTATCTGCATGGACGAGAAATGGAAAGGAAAGGAAACAAAAATGAGTAAAGTTGCGCGAAATGAAATTTTTAATGCTCGAAATGCGATCTGATAAATTTGATAAGATGCAATCTCGCTAAGATTACAATTTTCAAAGAAGTTAGATGACCGCGATTATATATACATAAAATATATATTATTTTATTTTCATTGATTATTTTTTTACACTATCTCACATAAAACTCGTACTGTTTACTTGACAATAAAAGAGATATTATACGTTACCTGTTATATCGATATGGCGTAGAGTGTCAACGATGCTTTCTGTGACTTCTTCTGAGATATGTAAGAGCTTGTTGTTTTGCAAATTCAATGTTTCCAGCGAATTAAGGTTCTCGAATACCAGAGGCGGAAGTGTTTTAATCCTGAAAAGATAGTGTAATGATGCAGAATGCTAAGTATACACTAGAGAAAACTTCTCAGTATATTCATGCTAATAAATTATGGATTATCATATCGAAGTATAAGAAATGAATTTCTAATGCATAATCAATTGATTTAAATATGACCTAAATCCTCAGTATATGGAAGAAAAGAAAATTACATATTTTTCTGCAGATTAAGGAAAGTGATGGAATCTCCATAGCCCGTGAAAGCGTCCTCCGGAAGTGCAGTGATGTTATTTGCCCGTAAATCAAGGTGGCGTAAGCGATGCAAACGTCGTAGAGCGTCACTCGGTACCGAATGTAAATTATTATCTCCCAATCGTAAATATTGTAAATTTTCTGGAACGAAAGATTAAAGATTACGAGAGAGAATATGTTAAAAAGAACGTTGATATTGAGGATGCGAAAATAAGACTGATCATTCCAAAATTTTTCATTGAACTTCCTTGTTTATCAGCTTCTTTGTGAAAGAAGAGTTCATTGATTTTCTCGTGTAATGATACGAGTAATGTAATTAAAACAGTCACGCAAGAATATAAAATATGTATATTAGGACGAATGTGGCAGCAATCTATATCGCAGTAGATAGCTTCGTTACGTGAGAAGCATCAATAATAATCTTCGAGAGTTATTCGCTCTAACGAATTTTTTTAGATGGATTGTAGTTAGTTAACAAATCAAGCTACTCGTAGCAGCGAATAAATAATCGATTGAAAAAAAATTTACGCAAGTATGAATCAAATACTTTAATCGAAAGCTCTAATTGGATCCGTCATCATAACGAGAAATAATACATAATCTAAATACAAAAAATTTATCACCTTCTGATGAAATATTTAAAAAACTGGATAAAAAGGATTATATATATATATAATTCAAAATGTGTGCATATATCTATTTCTAATGTAGATGACATATATTTATTATATGATTTTAATCTTTTATTTAAAATGATTTTAAGAGAGATAAAAATATGTGATGATAATTACGATATTTTTAACGATAGAATATATTTTGACGAATCAAAATGTAGAAGACATTAATTCAAACTAATATTAAATTTATATTTGTTTATAACAACGTTTATACATCATTGAATCATTTGTCTTATTGATCGTAAAGCTAGCAATATGTTGCTCGACTAAATCGTCGAAAATGTCAATACTGTTCGCTGGCATGGAATATCGCTTTGTCGAAATACTATCTTGATATTCGAATTCGTGTTTATAGGATGTAGCAAGATGAAGGGTTGTTTGTAAAGTGTCGTTTGCTCGTTTACATCCACATCCAAAAGGAATCGCCGGCGAGCAGTCGCGGCATGCGGTAAATTTAAATGCTAAGCAGTTGCGATGTTCGGAACGATAAATAAAGTAGAACGTGATCTACAAAGACCGCGAGAATTTCACGGTAAAGTAAACATAAGATCGCGCGACTGTATTGAAATCGAGTATTGAAACGATTTATCTCGACGTGTCGTGTATACAATTTAAACTATTCGATAAATATAAATAAAATGTGACGTCAGTCATTTATATTTTTTATATATGCTTACAATAGATAATATATTTTTTATAATATTTTATTATATATTGAGCTATTAAATTCTTTAATGTTTTATTTAATTAAAAAATTGTAAAGAATAACACAATTAATATTACAATAATTTAAACATTTTAAATATTGTATCCGTGTGTAAATCTCTTAATAGATAAAATAACTATTTTAAGTTATAATTACAGTTACCTTCTAGACCGATGAATGCATTGGGATCCACGTGGGTAATTTGATTTCCGTCGAGTTCCAAAGAGTTTAATTGTGTCAAATGGGAAAATACACGCCCCGGGACTTCGCGGAGGTGATTGTGCGCCAATCCTAATGAATCGAGTGCTTTCAATCCTGAAAGGGCAAAACGTTTTATCGATGAGTCCATTTCATTAATGGTATGAAATACCCGTAATATATATGCATCTATTAAAATTATTTTATTTGTATGTATAGATCGAGTGTGTGTAATATATTGAAAAAGTTGATTAATCAAAATTGAAATCGTTATGTAAAAAGGGATCAGAGAAAAGCTGAATTGATTGTAAAAATGTGTTTCTAAGATATTATGTACGTTTTGAAATAAGTTTCGTAAGGGGTTTTCAAAAAAAGATACATTTTGGAAAATAGAATAAATTATCGACACTTTACCTTCGAAATCACCTTCTTCTATGCTTGTTATGCGATTTTCTTGCAGTTCTAATTTCTTCAACAATTCTAACGAATTTAAAGATTCAGTTGGGATTCTCGTAAGTTCGTTTCCGCCTAAATTAAGCCTCTTGAGTCTCCGGCTAGAAACGCGAAATTTAAAACCATTCTTATTTTCTTACAATTAAAGAGAGGTTGGAATATTGGCCTTTATTTTTAATTCGTATTATCTTATTAGCTATTAACTAAGCAAATATAACTTTAAGTGTTCTTTTTTCTTTTTATATCGTAAAAGTTGAATAAGAAAGAGCTTTTTGATTCTGTTTTCATTTTCTTAGAATTTGCAATATAAAAAGTAGAAGCACTTACTTATCGAGTCCTTTGAATGCATCTGGCTCGATACTAGATATCTTGTTTTCGTAAAGCGTTAGGATTTCAAGTGTATCGAGACCTTCGAAAGCCTTGTTGTGAATGGCTGCGATTTTATTACGATTCAAATTCAAAATCAGAAGATGGTGAAGGTCATGCAACGCATGGGATGGGACACTACTCAGCGAATTTTGGGAAAGATCCAGCTGTGTCAATCCCGTTCCTGCAAGGAAGTGAATTATTGTTTGTTAATTCTTGTTTGCCTTTGCGGTCACTTGTATAAATTGTAATTTGACTGTTTTCGAAGCTCTTTCTCATATATAATTTAGGATATATATATCCTTTTCATTCCGTAAAAAGATTTTATCAATTTAATATATTATATAATAGAAATTATACACTTTTGACGCTGCGAGTCTTAAAGCGATTGAGCGAAGTCGCGCCGTATTCTCATTAAGATCCCCGTATGCGGTGGCCACGCGATGCGGTTATCTCCGCGTATCTCGACTATACACGGCAGGTGTAAAAAGAACGTATTTTCCAGTCCCTTACAGTAATTTATTCCGAATCTGCGTGGCCGCAAACGCGCGGTGCGGTGGTTTGCTAAGTTCCGGAGCTTGGTAAGAGATATAAAGGCAGGTTAAATTTGCAGTCGACTTTAACGCGGGCCTCGCGTGACAGTCTGAGTGCCTCAATGTTGGCTTTAATATAAAAAAAAACTGATCTTAAATCTTCCATGAAAGTCTTTTGACGCCGGAGGATAGCTGCTGTTCTGCGCCGTAAAAAAATGTTACGCTACATGAAGTAGTGCGGAGCTTTTTTCATTATTTCATGTACTGGCAGCGACGTGTCTTGAAATTATGACATCGAATATTTTGTTGATATACAGTTTAATCAAGGGGTTATTTTTTTACTATATGGACACTATTATCTTTGAATATGATTCTAAAGAATATTCGCATGTATATGAATATATTGAATTATTTAAAAAATTACGATTAAACTTTAAAATTACTATGTGATAACTAGCTTAATAATTCCCTAAGTTAAAAATTTAAATGCTCAAACATTTAGAATTGAACTTGTTGCGTAGTAGTTATATAACGAGAATACTTATTGTATGATTGACAATAGCTATCTAATAGCAAATAGCTCTAGTTTAACTTATTGCCATCCTGTTTTGGGATAAACTCGACGTCGTATTTTGTAAGAATCTAAACATTCCAGAAATTTATATAATACATATAGTTATAATTAGCACATTACATTTTTAAAATTTACATAAATTTCTCTAAATAAAATAAATTATTAAATTATTTTAAAAAATAAATATAAAGAACACTTTTTATATTTTATTACATCTTAAAATGGAAATTAAATAAGAGTGCAAATGCGATTAATTTTAGTCATGATTATTACATTTTAAAATATTTTATTTTAAATTTTATTTTATATAATGTATTTTGTATAATGAAATTATGTTTTATTCCATTGAAATGTAATTTTATATAGCTTTCTATATATATTAAATTTTTTTTTTTTAGGAATTAAATACTCAGATTTCAATATCTTATATTTCTCTATCCTATCAGTATTTCTGTTTTCTTCGCTAAATGAATATCATTGATTTAATACACTTACCGAGAGAACTAAGGGAGGATTCCTCGAGCACCGCGAGGCTACTATTATGGATGGTGAGGTGGCGTATGTCGAGCCCGAGGAACACGTATCCCTGCAACTTCGGCAGGTTGTTGTGCCTAAGCCTAAGGTAGAATATCACGATGTTCGGCCTACCCTTAAGCACGGTCATGGCCTTGGTGATGTGTTGCATGTCGGTGATCTCGCACACAATGTCCAGGCCGGATTTCTTCATGCTGCAGTAACAGGGCGCGATATCGTTGTGGGTCGGACAGACCATCGATACTTGCGCTAAACCTGTCGCTAAAACGAGGCAGAGCAACCACACCAGCCGCCACACATCCAACAGACCGTGCTCCCTCATTTTTTGTACGACTCCACACTTCTCCCCCGTGACTTTGTCACAATAGCCGATCCTCTCGGACCTTCCCTCTCTGTTTGCCCTCCGTGCCTGTCTCCTTCGCGTTCACTCTCGCTTTCTGTCAGCCGCGCGCCTCTCTCCAATCTTCCCCTCGCGCCCTCTCCGTTCCTGTACCTGCAGCCTTAGCTACTTAGCCTCTGCTCTTATCATATCCATTGTTCGCTCTGCCACGGTGTACCAGTACACCGAGTCTGCAAGCAAACGAAAGCTCGATAAGTTTCCCTCGTTTATGGAAAGGGGATAAAGAACATGACAGGGAGAATTTAATTTATCGGGAACAGGGAGAACCCTAATACGTGAATACATCGTGCATTATCAAATAACTTTCTGCTAATAAAGGCTAAGAGAGAAAAAATGTAGCATCTGGTTTAATACCAGAGTAGACTTTAATTTTTAACTGTAGTATATCCCCAAAATAATATATTTCTTATTTATTATTTATATTATAATTATTTATTATATTATATTATAATTATTTTAACATCTTGTTATGGAAATAATGAAACAAAATGTATCCTGTTTCAACCATTTTTTTACACGATAGTATCTTTCTAAGAACTATTTATTTATTAATATATGCAGAAAATATCAGCATGAGCACGATATCATTGCTAAAATAGAACAATGTTTAGTTTCCTTTGATTTAATATTGAGTCAATAATTATGTAGTTTATACAGAGTAATAGGAAATGGAAATTTATTGGAATTATTATTAGTCCAGAATAACACATGTTTTACGCCTGATAATACAACAATAATGTATGCAAATAATATTCCGATTGCATTACATATTTATATTACGAAAATATTCGTATACTTGCATAACGGTCAACTTATCGTCGGTCACGGTAGCTGCGCAAAACTTTTACGCGTGGGTATTAATAACTACAGTATTAAATTTCCGTATCTATTAATACAATGTCACATCGCTGTTGAAATTTTTGTAATAAAATTTTTAAAGATTCGGCGCGTTAAAAAGTTACTCTTGCACTTATTTACATTGCTGCGTTCTTGCAAACTTCCATATTGTTTCTTTACAAAAATGTTTGAATGTTAAGAAGATCATATCTTTCGATAAATCTAACTTTTTTGCATTCATCTAACTTTTTTGCACTTATTTACATTGCTGCGTTTTTGCAAACTTCCATATTGTTTCTTTACAAAAATGTTTGAATGTTAAGAAGATCATATCTTTCAATAAATCTAACTTTTTTTGCATTCAGAATTTAATCCAAGAATTAATTTTATATCGTAATTAATTGTTTTTTTCAAGTTGACAAAAAATTTTATTCTAACAATAAATCTAATTGCAAAGATATGTAGCGTTAAAAATTAAAAACTGCATTCAGAATTTAACCCAAGAATTAATTTTATATCGTAATTAATCGTTTTTTTTCAAGTTGACAAAAAATTTTATTCTAACAATAAATCTAATTGCAAAGATATGTAGCGTTAAAAATTAAAAACTTGTAAAGAATCAATGGTCATAGTTTAACCAAGGAAAAATTGATTTCAAATTGATCGAGAAATGCATCCATGATATTATTTTATATATTTTTCTAAATGCATAACGCCCTATATAATACGCACAATACATACATAGGTATTACACGTACCGAGCCATGCGGCGGATGTTATATTTTCTTCTAGCTCGTAACACACTCAACGGAAGACATAAAATGAAGTGATGATGTGTGCTCGCGTCATCACTAGGCATCGCTTTCGATGTCACTGCATATATGATAGTTCAATCGATCGCAAAAATGTGCGACTTTTCTTTTTTAACACTCTCGCATCCTTATCTCTTGTTACGCAACAAGTACATTCAAGCGACGCTACAAAGAAGAGTTCGCGGTTGTTCGCGAGAAATTCCTCAGCCTGTAAAGCGAACGTTTTGGCACATCGCAAAAAAAAAACAAACAAACAGAACTGTATCAATTTTATCACTTCACATGCACGCAGCGTGCGACGCTATCGAAATCACTTTCCCGACGATAATGGTATCATGAGCGAGTTTCGAACCGCAATCCCGATATCGTGCAACGAATATATGCCATCATTATAGTCGCAGCTCACGATCCCATCTCGATTTATATTTTTCCCGATAAACACCTCTCACATCGCGTACCCATCTACGCAAACTCGATCGAGAAAATCGTCGCTCAACTTCCGCTCAGCATCCACGAAGTAATCACTCACTGCTTCTCTATTTGATAGTAATATCCGTGCGTCGCGTTTATCCGGCGTAATTGCGCCGCGAAAATCGCGCTGGGTGGCCGCGTGTCACGATGTCATCGTCAGTATCACTTCCAAACACGATTTCCAAACTCGATTAGATATCAGCGATTAATTAGCGCGGAATCAAGATCGTTAATTTTCCGAAAGAGAACACGTCAACGCGACACGACGCGACACAACGCTACCCGACGTCGTCGATATCCGATACGATTCCCTTTAATCCGCCGCCGAAAATACGCAGGCGCGATCGGCGTGACCCCGGAAGTCGAGGGATTTGGAAGGGTATAATGGACACCGTGGCGACGGAACCGACAATGTCGATAGCGAAACTGTCACTAAAGACGGACTCTTGGTCTGGGGCGCGAAGGCGTCACAGTTCGTAGAGCTCGGTGCTGCGTTGTCGGTGACCTGCGTGTCCGTTGACGTTATCATTGCTTGACTAATAGGCCGCTTCCGGCACAGGGATCATGGGATCGCGATTGACCGCGAGAGTATATCGGTCTACGTCACCGTTGAGCTCATTGCGATCGGCGGACAGAAGCGAGTATTTCGTGCAAAGGATTTGTGATGGCAAAGGAAAAAAGAGCACGAAAATCTTGATTGATGACTTTTCCGTACGTATCGTAACGCATCGTAACGCTAATATCTCGCTGACGCTCTTTCCTCTTTACCTCGTGATATTTGATGAGAAAGTATACAAAGTACAAAGTATACATCTTTTTTTTTTAAACTCCCAGCAGAAATCTTCTTAGAGTACCAATATCGAAAATTAAAACGTAAAAGATGATGTGCATATATATACACACTTTATTTCGTTATTTTTAACAACGGCGTCATTCTGCAGATTATACCTGAAATATGATATCGTTTACTCATTTTTTTAATGACTTCAGAACGTAACTGTGACGACATAAATAGTTGTAAAAGGATAACGTAAGCAATAGGAATTAGTTTCTATTTATTTTAAAATGTAAAGTTCTCTCTCTCTCTCTCTCTCTCTCTCTGAATTGTTTGTATATGTAAAAATTTGTACAAGTACGTTTTATATATGTCAGCTTTTTTATTAGTTTTAGAAACCAAACAAATGGATGTCGGATAAATTTATACTCTGGAAATGTAAAGTTTTAATACAAGTGTCACATATGCAGAATGAATACATCTCTACGTTTTGGCTCTAAAAATGTATACATATCAAATGAATATCATTTTATATATTTCAAATTCTGGCTATACAATTTTTTATTACTATAAATTTGTAATGAGTTTGCATAATTTTAGCATTTCCCAGTATATATTAAGCGTATTAAGTATATTAACATATATTAGGTGTATTACATTTTTCATATATTTAATTATTTATTACATTTATTTAAATTACATTTTTCTATCATGAAATAAAAAAATATGTATAGCTGATAAAATAAAGATGCATCAATCTTTTTGTCTGTTGAATTTGCGTACTTTCAAGTTAATCAAGATAATCCATTCCCTATCTGTAGACAATCCGTTCGATCAGCGATCAATCTATCGAGTAATGTCATAATTATGGGTGATCAAGGTAACTTTTATGATCGAAAGATGGAGAAAGAACGAAACGATGCATTATTACGTATTCCGAAGCTCTTTTACAAAAGCGTTCTTCTAGGAAATTCAAAACCGAGATGAAGGATATTGCTCGACCGCTAATTGAGTTCGGTAGTGAGTTCTGTTCGCAGAGAGGAAGATTCAATTGGGAAAGTATTAAGAGCTTTTAGCTTCCGCCGTGCCTGATTTCTTCTAAGAGTAACGCGCAATATCTGTAACTTAAATCCCGTTCTTATTTAGCGCAATAAGCGTAAAATACGGAAAGTTAACGGTATGCCAGAGACGAGAATTAAATCTAGAAACTAATAATTTATATGACGAAACATCGCATCATAAAAGCGAAAAGTGACGAGAAAATTAGTATCGGAGAAGGTGCGGTGGTAAACGATAGCAATAAATTTTTGTTTCGCAATTTTTTTAAATCCTTGAATAACAAATAATAAATGCGTACACGTATGAGCTATGGATTTGTTTCAAAATACGTCGAATTATAGAATGGATTTGATGTGTAATGCTCTTTTAGCGCCGCTTTCACAAAGCACAAATCGCGAAGCATCGAGGATAATGCGGGCACGAGAACAGTAATTAGCATATCGAGTATTTGAACAAGGGGACGAGGTGAGAGTCCCTTCTGTTAACCGTTTGACGTCCCCCAAATCGATTCGTCTTCGCTCGCTCAGCAATAGCTCGACCCGTTTTGTTTGTACGACGGTTGGCGTAGAATAAATTGTACAATCTAGCGGGAGAGAGAGAGAGAGGCACTCTATTAAATTGAATGACGTCGACACTTCGATAACGTTGTTCGAGTACGCTTGTGGCAGACATGCTTTTTTCATTTTCCATGCCGTCATGCTTACATGATTGACTTTCGTCCCGCAGAAAAAAAACAGAAAGATCGTACAATTCAATTTGTCGGAAAACGCATATTTTCATCCTGAAAGAAGAATAATATAATAAGAATATAAGCTCGCGTAATCATAATCTCAAATATCGCCATTTTTTCAATGTGTATATGTGCGTGTATGTATGTGGGGTATTGCGACACCAAAAGTATATTTTATACTTTTAATCCACGATTAATATAAAACACATGGTCTAATTTATAATACGCAAAAATGTTTACGATTTTGCTACATTATGATTAAATTATATAATCGCGCTTTATGACCTTATTTTATCTTATTAATAAACTCGCGAGATGTTCTCTCAGTTTGTTTATACGATTTTATTCGCAGGAAATTATATAATTATATATTTTAATATTAAATGTGTGATATATACGCATATTATTGCGGATTATTAGTGCGCATTTTTGCAATTTGCAATAAGTTCAACAATTATAAAATTTCTCTGCATCTCGATTGCCGTAACTATTTATATTCATGTTTTCACAATCACATGGCATGACTGACAGTTTGATCATGTTTTCTATTTCGTTATATTATTTTGCGATGATTTACATGACGCGGACGTTATCATCCTACGAGAATTAAAATAACATGCTTTGCTCCCAGCTGAATTACAGCGATTCAATTTGTATTGCATTTTCGCGATATGACCTTAATTCTTAGCGCGCTTTGACATTAAATATACGACGAGCTTATTACACTTTATTAGCATACGTTGCTTTATTAGCATACATGTATGATTAGCATATGTTAGGCGATGCACGTAGTGAGACTCGACATATGTATCTATGTAGAATTGATAGCGAATCTTTCATACGATTAATGTGCATTACGACTGATGAAATCGAATAATCGCACTTTTGGGATATTTCAATTTTTTCGTCCTCATATAATGTGATGCATACTAATAATAAGATGAGAAAAATCATATGTTTTAGGAATATATTTTATGATTAGCTTTTTTAGAACATTATATGGTTATTTTTTACATTTGTACAAATATCAAGGAAAGTATGCGTCTTTTAACAAAAAGTACCGAAACAAAAGTTGTAGAGAATTAAATTATCTTTCAAATTAGATCAAAGTTATTGTATTGGGTTGAACGGAAAGTCTTCATCTCTTAGTAAAAAACGGAACGAACTTTCCGTTCAACCAATTATAGGAAAATATTCAAGAATTATGTCAAGTTTTGAGTGCACTCGTTTTCTACCACAAGTATGAATTGTATTAATTCGACTTGGAAGCTAAGTATATTATCGAAACAATTGTACTGATGCTGCGCACAGCAGCTGCTGTTTATATATTGTATTGAAGGATTATTCTTTAAAAACATTAAAATTTTTAATGATATAAAGTTTTTATCCGTTTTTAATTAATGCTGTTGTGCAGAGTAGCATTATTGCATTTTACAAACTGAACTATTCTTGAAAAATTGCACAAATTATACAATTATATTTTTTAAATAATAATGATTAACAAAGAATAGTTATTTTAAAATTCTGTCATCAAATAGTGATACACACATATATTAATCACTTAAGTAATAATGTCAAATAATGATGTCAAATAACGATTAAGTAATAATGTCAAATGACCTCATCTTCAAAGAGCTATATTGCATTTGATGAGATCCGAACATCGGAATATCTGGGCTTGATTGGATATTTGCATAAATCTTTTATGCATGTCGCGTGGACTTTAAGTCGCGGCATTGCAAAAGGAATGTCCCGCTAACTCGTAATGTTTTTAGTTCACGAAATTATTTCCAGAATTATTTATTAGTTTGTTATCTCGGTCGTGAAATGAAAAAGACAGATGTACTGTGTTTTTCCATCTTCTTGCGCGTTAGGGGGAAAGAAAGGGGGAAAAGAACGAAGGAGTGAATTTTCTCCTACGGCGGAAATCGTTAAACTTCGGTATGTCGCTTCGCGGATGTTCCTCCTTCCGCGTTATATACGACTTTTACGACAAACAAGTTTCATTCATAATTGAAACGCTTCGCGTTTTTGAGATAGAAAGAGGAAAAGTTGTCTCTCTCATGTAACATACAATTCGGGCACGATGTTGCCACGACCAGAAAGATATCCATCCGGTAATGCCAACGGAAAGCGCAAGCTTGGCAGATATTTCATTAAATCGTTGGCTTTGCGCATGCACCACACATGATGTTATCGGATTGAAATTTTCCAAAAATGCAACCGCCCGTGCCCTAAGAAGATTACGTGGAAGATTATTGGCTTGAGCTCCCTTTACACATGGGAAATACATTATTTGCATTTCCCTTCGCGAATGCGCTCACTGTTTCTAGTTCTAATTATAACTCAACTCGCCTGTGTATTAACGCTTGCAAAGATTATGCTCGCGTGAACAGATCAATTTGAGTGCATTCCGGCTGAGACTTACGATCCATATTAATCTTGCTCATTACTCTTTCATAAAATCCCGTGTATAATTTGTATGATATAGCCGATGTCGTATCTCAAAATTAAAACGACCAGAGATGCATTTATGAAATAAATGCGAGATGAATTTATTCGAAATGCTCGCGTCGTTTTACGTACGATTCTGGAAAAAATGGATATTATTATTATAACGGATATTGACACGTACGCGTGGTCATATCGAAATAATATCGGCGCATATATTGTCTCTCGCTCTTTTTACTGTGGGATGGATGCATTTTCATCAATATTGGCGAAACCGATGCTTGAGAACATACACGATGAGAGATTGAACCATTGATATCCGACTGGTATTTTCCACGCCGCTATCGCTCGAAATTAGGTTAATAAACAGAGGCGGAAGTAACG